CCATTCTCTGAAGCGGAGAACTTTCCCCAATACCAGTTTCTTCCCAAAACAGGGTGCTATCTTCCTTTGATGTACGTGTAGTTGCTTTCCCAGAAAAGTTGGAGTATATTAAAATGCTGCAGGCCTGGCACTGTAGCTTATGACTGTAATCCCAGCACTTTGGGAGGCTGAGGCAAGCGGATCACTTGGGGTCAGGTGTTCAAGACCAGCCTGGCGAGTATGGTGAAACCCCATCTCCACTAAAAGTACAAAAGAAATTAGCTGGGCATGGTGGCAGGTGCCTGTAATCCCAGCTACTAAGGAGGGTGAGGCACGAGAATCACTTGAACCAGGAAGGTAGAGGTTGCAGCGAGCTGAGATGGTGCCACCGCCCTCCAGCCTGGGTGGCAGAGTGAGACTCCGTCTCCAAACAAAATTAAATTTAATTAAATTTTAAAATGCTGCTGCCAGGCATAGTAGCTCACACCTGGTCATCCCACCGCTTGGAAGGCTGAGGCAGGAGGCTAGCTTAAACCTAGTTTTGATTTTTTTCTTTTTTTAAGACAGCAGAAAAAGGTGATTTTATTTATTTATTTAGAGACAGAGTCTCACTCTGTCACCAGGCTGGAGTAAAGTGGCACAGTCTCAGCTCATTGCAGCCTCCGCCTCCCAGGTTCAAGCAATTCTCCTGCCTCAGCCTGTAGCTGGGACTACAGCCATGCACCACCATGCCTGGCAACTTTTTTTTTTTTTTTTTTTGAGACGGAGTTTCGCTCTTGTTACCCAGGCTGGAGTGCAATGGCACAATCTCGGCTCACCGCAACCTCCGCCTCCTGGGTTCAGGCAATTCTCCTGCCTCAGCCTCCTGAGTAGCTGGAATTACAGGCATGTGCCACCATGCCCAGCTAATTTTTTGTATTTTTAATAGAGACGGGGTTTCACCATGTTGACCAGGATGGTCTCGATCTCTTGACCTCGTGATCCACCCGCCTCGGCCTCCCAAAGTGCTGGGATTACAGGCGTGAGCCACCGCGCCCGGCCCGCCTGGCAACTTTTGTTTCTTCTTCTCATGTTTGTTTCCTATCAGCTAATTTTTGTATTTTTTGTAGAGACAAGGTTTTGCTATGTTCCGCAGTCTGGTCTCCAACTCCTGGGCTCAAGCGATCCACCTGCTTCGGCCCCTTGAAGTGCTGCAATGACAGATGTGAACCATCAGGCCCAGCCAGAGCCTAGAAGTTTGAGTCCAGCCTTGGCAACGTAGTGAGAACCCATCTCTACAAAAAAAAATTTTTAATTAGCCTGGCATGATGGTGTGCACTTGTGGCCCCAGCTACTCGGGAGGCGGGGGCAGGAAGATTGCTTGAGCCCAGGGGGTTGAGGCTGCAGTGAGCGGTGATCACACCACGGCACTCCAGCCTGAGCAACGGAGTGAGACACCCCTCCCCCACCCCCGCCAAAAAAAAAAATAAAACGGTGCAAGATTCTTGCTGCTTCTCTGAAAGCTGGCCTGAACGATTGTTAACAGATTCTTCCTGTAGAAGAGGACTTGAACAGGATACAGGAAACCCTGCCTTGCCAGAGCTGTGCAGTGCATCACACAATGCCTGGAGTCCCTGGCGTCGGCCACTAATTACCAGAAGCTCCGTAAGTTTGCAAATACCTCCCAGCTCCGAGAGCTACTCATTGAACCCTGAGAAAGGTGCAGGAGAGGTGGGGGTGTAGAGCCCTGGGAGGGGCCCCTTGGGTCCCCAGAGTCTGGAGAGAGTTTCTCCTCCAGGGAGATGCTGAGGCCACCAGCAGGGAACTAGGACCACAGTCGCCATCCCACCACTGTCCAGGGCAGTCACCTGCATCATCAAGTAGACATCAGCCTCTGCACAGGGAACCGTGATATATATGAGACCTTCACATGGACGTAACCATAAGCATGAATTCAGCACTCACGTTTTCTTAATGACAGCTGTTTTTTTTTTTTTTGGAGATGGAGTCTCAGTCTGTTGCGCAGGCTGGAGTGCAGTGGCACGATCTCAGCTCACTGCAACCTCTGCCTCCTGGATTCAAGCAATTCTCCCACCTCAGCCTCCAAGTAGCTGGGATTACAGGCATCTGCCATCACACCCAGCTAATTTTTTGTATTTTAGTAGAGATGCGGTTTCACTGTGATGCACAGGCTGGTTTCGAACTCCTGACCTCATGATCCACCTGCTTCAACCTTCCAATGTGCTGGGATTACAGGCATGAGTCACTGCGCCAAGCTGACAGCTGCTCTTCTTTACAGAACCCCAGCATGTACAGGTGTCAGTATCTGTCAGTATCAGCACCAACACATGTCCACGTGCCATCGTCGGTAAGCATACTACTATCAAGGCAGGCCTAAGGCTAAGACACAGATCTTAACACCATGGCACGTACTGACATGTGTAGTTGTCAGAATTCACATGGGTGGATACTGACTTGTGTGTTAATGGCAGCTAGTGACATGACACCTGCCTGTGTGACATTGACACATGCATGGGCATTTATAGATGTGGGCACACACATCTGCATGGGGTGTGAAAGTGCCCATCTGAATCCCATCCATTCACCCTCCAGGCTGGAGCCCCTCAATGGGCTGGGGCCGTTCTGACTAAGTTGTATCCCAGAATCTGGCAGAGAACAGATACATTATAAATGCTTGAATGTGGGCCAGGCATGGTGGCTCATGCCTGTAATCCCAGCACTTTGGAAGGCGGAGGCAGGCAGATCATGTGAAGTCAGGAGTTGGAGACTAGCCTGGCCAATATGGTGAAACCTCATGTCTACTAAAAATACAAAAATTGGCCCACTGGGCTGGTGCACGCCTGTAATCCCAACACTTCGGGAGGCAGAGGTGGGTGGATCACCTGAGTTCAGAAGTTCAAGACCAGTCTGACCAACATGGTGAAACCCCATCTCTACTAAATACAAAAAAATTAGCCGGGCGTGGTGGCGCATGCCTGCAATCTTAGCTACTTGGGAGGCTGAGGCAGGAGAATCGCTTGAACCCAGGAGGCCGAGGAGGTTGCAATGAGCCAAGATTGCACCATTGCACTCCAGTCTGGGCAACGAAAGTGAAACTCCGTCTCAAAAAAAAGAAAAAAATTACCAGATGTGGTGACAGGTACCTATAATCCCAGCTACTCAGGAGGCTGAGACAGGAGAATTGCTTGAACCTGGGAGGCAGAGGTTGGGGTGAGCCAAGATCGGGCCATTGCCTGGGCCACAAGAGCAAAACCCCATCTCAAATAAATAATTAAATGCCTGAATGAGGCTGAGTGCAGTGTCACACACCTGTAATCCCAGCACTTTGGGAGGTCAAGGTGGGAAGATTACTTAAGTCTGGGAGTTTGAGACCAGCCTGGGCAATATAGTGATATCTCTTCTCTATCTAAAAAAAAACAATAATGCTTGAATGAATGAGTAAAGGCAACGAATACTTCAAACTGACCAGGGTCAGGCACTGTGATAAGCACTCACATGCCTGATCTAATTAATCCACACCACAATCTCCATATAAGGACTAATGATCCCACTATACAGATGGGGAAAACTGAGTCATAAAGACAGGATGTAGCTTTCCCAAAGGCATTCACCCTGTAAGTGACAGAGCCGGGATTTGACCCACGTTTCTCAAACTCAACATCTAATGTCCTTAATCACTGGCTGGTCCTCATTATGATGGGACAACCCTCTCTCCCAATTCTTGGGACACACCCTCAAACTCCTTCCAGTGCCGGCACTCAGCAAGCTGGAAGAAAGTAAGGCAGCCTTTCATCATGAAATCAGAGAAAGGGAGAGACACTTTAAGGCCAATGAAGCTCAGAAGTTCTGTATCAGCACTGGGTGAGGTGGCTCACACCAGTCATCCCAATGCTCTAGAATACCAAGGTGGGAGGACTGCTTGGGGCCAGGATTGAAACCCATCTCTACAAAATAAAAATTTTTAAATTACCCATGCCCAGTGGCGTACATCTATAGTTCTAGCAATGTGGGAGGCTGAGGTAAGAGAATCACCTGAGCTGGGGCAGTGAAGGCTGCAGAAAGCCGTGATCACACCACTGCACTCCAGCCTGAGTAAGATGCTGTCGAGAAGGAGAAGGAGGAGGAGGAGGAGGAAAAGGAGGAGGAGAAGGAGAGGGGGAGGAAGAGGAGAAGGAGGAGGAGGAGGAGGCGGAGGAGGAGGAGGAAGAAAAGAAGAAGGAGAAGCAGCAGCAGCAGCAGCCTGAAAACATAAAAATTAAAAATTCAGTTCTTCAGTCACACTCACCACATTTCAAGTGCTTGGTAGCCACATGGACAGATGAGATACAAATAATTTCTAGGATTCTAGAAAGTTCTATCGGACAGCATGGTCTAGCATGGGTATCTAATCCTTTAAATGTAAGGACTCTTTTGCTTATTTGTTTGTTTTTTGAGACGAAGTCTCACTCTGTGGCCCAGGCTGGAGTGCAGCGGCAGGATCTCGGCTCACTGCAACCTCTGCCTCCCAGGTCCAAGCAATTCTCCTGCCTCAGCCTCCTGAGCAAGTACAGGCATGCACCACCACGCCCTGCTAATTTTTGCATTTTTAGTAGAGACCAGGTTTCCTCCTCCATCTTGGCCAGGCTGGTCTCAAACTGCTGGTCTCAAGTGATACATCCACCTCCTTTTTTGCTTATCTGTGGTGGCAGATATCACAAAAATTATATGTAGACTTTTTTTTGAGACAGAGTCTTACTTTCTCACCAGGCTGGAGTGCAGTGGCACAATCTCGGCTCACTGCAACCTCCACCTCTCAGGTTCAAGTGATTCTCCTGCCTCAGCCTCTCAAGAAGCTGAGACTACAGGTGTACACCACCATACCCAGCTAATTTTTTGTATTTTAGTAGATACGGCATTTCAACATGTTGGCCAGAATGGTTTCGATCTCCTGACTTACTTCATGATCCACCTGCCTCCGCCTCCCAAAGTGCTGGGATTACAGGTGTGAGCCAATGCATCCCGCCTCAAGCCTTTTTTTTTTTTTTTTTTTAAAGCCACACTTCTAATTCCCCCTGCACAATGTAACAGTCACAATGTTCTGGCCTGTGGGAAGCCAGGGGACGGTTCTGGATGGTTCTTGCAGCACAGAGCAAGTGCAGTGGGCCTCAGCCTCGGGACACGGGACAGGCACTCGAAGGCTCCCAGAGGCATCTTCTCTGGGAAAAGGGCTGGAAGGGTCTGCTTATCCCCGCTACAGAACGCAGGTTGTTGCTGTAGTAACAGACGAGAAACTTTTCTTCTGTTGCAGGGATGTTGCTGATGTCAATGTAAACCTGGTTCAGGTTGTTGCTGAAGGAGACCTGGTTGTCCCCAACCCAGATGTAGGACACGTAGTCATGAATGTCACGCAGCCCCACCTTGTACAGTCCGATCCAGTCCCACGGGCTCCTGGGGAAGTCTGAGGTTGAGGAGTAGCTGACCATCAGGTTGTTCTCCAGGGTCCACAGGTCCTCTGGCATCAGAACGATCAGTGGAGCAGACAGCAACGGCTTCAGCTCCAAGTCGAAAGTGCCTGCAACAGGCTTATGGTCACTGATGGTGTACGTCATGTAGCTGCCATAGCTCCTCTGAGACAGGGAGAAGTCTGGGGCTGGCAGTCCAGTGGTGTGGGGGCCGGCCTGGGGCTGCCGCTTCAACCTCCACAGGATGCGGTCTGTCCATGCGGGCTTTCGTTTCTTCTCACTGGTGTCGTAGTTGCTGGAGTTCCTATCAAACTTGTAGGTGGGTGGGAAGAGCAGGCGGCCCTCCTGGAACTCCCGGAGCAGCGGGTCATGTTTCTTGGCAATGCTGAGCTGATCCTTCTCCCACAGGTCACTGTAGCACCGATTTTTAATGGATTCCCGGACAAAGTGCAACCCAAAGTCCTCGATGCGAAAGTTCATGTCTCCAAACCAGATAATGAGGTCATGATCCAGGATGTTGGGAATATCTTGTCCCCCAAAATTCTGCATCTCCAGGATCTGGTCAAAGTGCTCCAGCCGCTGGTAATTGTTGGAAATGTGGGGAGGCAGGTGGCAGTTGATGATGCTGATGTAGTAGCCATACAGCTTCAGGCAGATGTTGACTCCTCCTTTGTTCCCCCAGTACCCAAACAGGCCGGTGGGGGTGGATTTAGTAGAGAGAATCTGGAGATAGGGCAAATGCTGATACTTGGCAAAGACCAGTAAGAGGATCCCTTGTATACGCACGTGGGAGACCTTGATGAAGCTCAGAGGGGAAAGCGTATCCATGAGGAAACTGCTCCATGAGTCATTAAAGGCAGCATCGGAAAGGAGGCTTATGATTCCAGAGTTCAATTCCTGCAAACCAATGATATATATGTCAAGATTTGCATTCTGGTTGTTCAGCTGAAGCAGGTCACTGAGATCTAGAGGGGGTGCTGCTGAGGCCACATTCCAAGTCACAACGTGGATGCCCAGCCTCCTGCCTTTCGGCCCGCTCGGCTTCCGAGAGCTCATGGCCGCAGTCGTCCCGCGCGGTGGTCCGGCAGCTCGCGTCTGGCGGCCAGAGCAGCCCCGCGGCCGGCCGGTCTCACCCGCCCCGCTGTCGTTGACTGTTTTTCTTCCCTCAAGCCTTTTTTTTAAAGCTCATCAGCTATCGTTAGTGTTAGTGTATTTTATGTGTGATCCAAGATCCAAGACAATTCTGCTTCCATTGTGGCCCAGGGTAGTCAACAGTTTGAACACCCATGATGATCTGCCCCAGTCTATATATGATTGGTTCTTCTTTATGGTGTTAATATATTCCTCTGTTCCCTGCCTTTCCTGTATACTGGTAGTTGCACATGGAAGCTGAATCAAATTCAGGTTCAATTATTTTGGTGAAAATACTTCCCAGGTCTGCGTCCTTCCACCAGGAGACATATCATGTCTGGTTGTCTTTATTGTGTGAGACTCACATCCTATTGGCCACAGGAAGTCACATGACCAACCCTGACATAGGTGGGTCAGGAAATGTGTTTGACATACTCGAGGACCTGTGAAGTCACATGGTACAGTCATGGATGTATAATTCTGTAACAAGGAGGAAGTGGAGATTTGGAGACAATAACTCAAGCTACCACAGGGGTATTTCTTTTCTTCTTTTTTTTTTTTTTTAAATCAAATGGACTTTTCAGAAATGAAATCCCAGCACTTTGGGAGGCTAAGGTGGGAGGATCACTTGAGCCCAGGAGGTCTAGATCAGCCTGGCCAACATGGTAAGACCCTGTCTCTACAAATAATTTTAAAAATTATCTGGGTCTGGTGGTCTGTGCCTGTGGTCCCAGCTACTCAGAAGGCTGAGACAGGAGAATCACTTGAGCCTCAAGGTCGCAGTGAGCTGTGTTCATGCTACTGTACTCCAGCCTGGGCAACAGATCAAGGTCCTCTCTCAAAAAAAGGAAATGGGCTGGGCACAGTGGCTCACATCTATAATCCCAGCACTTTGGGGGGCCAAGGCAGGTGAATCACCTGAGGTCAGGAGTTCAAGACAAGCCTGGCCAATATGGTGAAACCCGATCTGTACTAAAAATACAAAAATTAGTGAGACATGGTGGCACATGTCTGTAGTTCTGGCTACTCAGGAGGCTGAGGCACAAGAACCGCTTGAACCCGGGAGGCAGAGGTTGCAGTGAGCTGAGATCGTGCCACTGCATTCCAGACTAGGCAACAGAGTGAGACTCCGTCTCAAAAAAAAAAAAAAAAAGGAAACGAGGGAAGGAGGGAAGAAGGAAGAAAAAGAAGGGAAGGGGAAAGGAAGGAAGAGAGAGAGAGAGACAGGAAGGAAGGAAGGGAGGGAGGAAAAGAGGGAGGGAAGAAAGGGAAGGAGGGAGGGAGAGAGGAAGGAAAGGAGGAAGGGAGGAAACTATGAGTCATAGAGAGGTTAAGTAACTTGTTCAGTCATGCAGCTGGTAAATGATGAGATTTGAATGCAGGCAGGCTGGCTCCAGAGCCCAGGATCCCAACTACTACACTCTAGGAAAACATCAGAGCCCACTTAATGGGGCTGTGGTGACATTCTGATATGAACGGGAATGCCAAGGGCTTAGGACAGCGCTTGGCACAGGACCTGGTCATCATGTTTGGAACTGGTGCTGTTTATTTCCATCACCTGATTCTGGGTTGGCCTTGGCTTGGGTTTGGAGGGAATTTCTGCCCCTGGAAATGTTCCAGGGGTGGCAGCTGGATGTTTTAAATCCAAGGACCTTATTAGGAGTCAGAGTTGGGCAAGGGGAGACAGGAGATAAAATCCGATCACAAGAGGTAGCTATGAATAGGTCAGGAGCAATTCTCCCCAGCCTTGAGCAGTAGGGAGGGTGAGTCAACAGAAGTGAACTCACCCTTCCTCCTAGTTATAGTATTATACATCCCTGACTGTACCATGTGCCTTTACAGGTCCTCTTAAGTGTGTCAAATACATTTCCTGACCCACTGATGTCAGGGTTGGTCATGTGACTTCCTGTGGCCAATAGGATGTGAGTCTCACACAATAAAGACAACCAGACCTGATGGTAAGTAGAATATCCATGAAGATTTGCAGGAGACCATGGCCAGCAACACTGGCTTATCAGAACTGGGTTTGTGCACAGTTCTGGGTTTTCGTTGCTGAACCCCCTTTCTCTGTGGATAAGACAAGCATTTATTTCCCAATATCCCAAGGCCTATGACTCTACCTCCAGGCTGCTACTCGTAGGTGGAGCCCACCTGGTGCCTGTGGCTGGATCCCAGGGGCTACTGGACCTAGCTAGATGATGGTGCTTCATAGCTAGATATGGTGCTATGAAGAGTGTGGCAGATGACATTTCCTGGAAATGGTCACAGTAATATTTTGGGTCTCACATGCTCTCCCTTGTGGTAGCTTGCCCCTCCCATCAAAAGGCAGAGTATTTTCCTCTTCTTGAAGGTGGACAGAACTTTGTGATTGCCTTGACAGAGGGGAAAAGAGGGTGGGCGGTCAGAAGCAACACTGCATACCTAGGTGACTTCCACAGCTAAGTTATAAAAGCAGACATGGCTTCTGCTTGTCCTTTCCCTTCCCTTCCCTTTCTCCCTCTTGGTATCCCTCTCCCTACCTGCTCCCCACCACTGGCACCTGGGACCTAGCTGCCATGATGTGAGGAAGCCCAAGCAGCCACATGGAAAGGTCACAGGTAACTGTTCCGACCACAGGGCCCAGATGAGTTCCCTGCTGATAAGCAGCATTAAATGCCTGACAGGTGAGTGAGAAAGTTTCAAATCATTCCAGTCCACAGCCTTTTAATCCACCCCAAGGGGTGTCAAGTGCAGCAAAGATGAGCCATCCCTGCTGAGCCCTGCCCAGATTGCAGATCTGTGAACAAAGCAAATGTTTTCACTGGGGTGATTTGTAAACTAGGGAACTTCCAGTTCTTTCCTTGTTGAGGGGAAAGAGGACTTGAAGATTTTTCCTTTCATTAAAACCTAACTCAGGCTGGGCACAGTGGCTCATGCCTATAATCATAGCACTTTGGGAGTTAAGGCTGTTGGATCACTTGAGGTCAGGAGTTCAAGATCAGCCTGGCCAACATGGCAAAACCCCGTCTCTATGAAACACAACAACAGCAAAACTAGCTGCTGTGATGGAGCACAGCTACTTGGGAGGCTGAGGCAGGAGAATCACTTGAACCAAAGAGGCAAAGGTTGAAGTGAGCTGAGATTGTGCCACAGCACTCCAGCCTTGGCAACAGAGTGAGACTCCATCTAAAAAAAAAACAGGCCGGGCACAGGGGCTCACACCTATAATCCCAGCACTTTGGGAGACCGAGGCGGGTGGATCATGAGGTCAAGAGACTGAGACCATCCTGGTCAACATGGTGAAACACTGTCTCTACTAAAAATACAAAAATTAGCTTGGCATGGTGGTGCGTGCCTGTAATCCCAGCTACTCAGGAGGCTGAGGCAGGAGAATTGCCTGAACCCAGGAGGCGGAGGTCGTGGTGAGCCGAGATCGAGCCATTGCACTCCAGCCTGGGTAACAAGAGCGAAACTCCGTCTCAAAACAAACAAACAAACAAAAGAAACCCACCTAACTCAGATGTTGCTTTCTTATTTAAAAGTCTCCCATGTTCCCATCTCCTTCAGAATGAAAGTCTAAGTCCACACTTAATCTAAAAGATCCTTCCTACATGAGCTGCCCGTACCATGGTTTCCTGTCAGCATTGACTCTCTGACCTCTTATTCCACTCTCCCCATCCACCCCTCTGCTCCAGCCACACTGGCCTCCTTGCTGATTCTTGAACTTACCAAGCAAGTCCCACCTCAGGGACTTTGCACTTGCTGTTGTCCCAGCTCAGAATGCTCTTTCCCCAGATATCTATATAGCTCCCACCTCACGTTCAGGTCTTTGCTCAAATGTCACCTTCTCAATAAGTCCTTCTATGACCACACTATTTAAAATTACAACTCCCCTTCCTTCCCCCCAAAATAAGTCACTTCTCATCCTTATTATCTGGGTTCCATTTCTGCAGAGCTCTTAGCACAATCTAATGGATTGCATATTTCACTTATGTTTCTTATGCATGATCTGTCTGCCTGACTGGAGTATGAGTTCCATTTGGGCAGGTCAGGGGTCTCTGTCTGTCTTTGTCACTGCTGTATCCGCAGTGCCTACAACAGTGCCAGGCATATGTTCACCACTCTGTGAATATTTGTTGGTATAAATGGAAGGAATGAATGGATTAATGGGTGCATATATTGTTGGAAGAATAGATCCAGCGGAGAGGAAAGAGGAGGCTGACAGGAAAGGAGCCCAACTCACTTCAAAAACGTGAAGGCTTCCATTTGCCAAAGGCAGAAGATACTTTAAAAAAAAATCTCTTATCTCCACAACCAAATAATCAAGCAACTAATCAATCACTCTCCAAACCATGTCCCTCTTGCCTCTTAAACATTTCTTGTTTCTACCAACATTTTATTATGAGCAATTTCAAGCATGCAGAAAAGTTGAAGGATTTTTCAATGAACACCCTTATCCCAATGACGCAGACTCCGCTCTTAACATTTTACTGTATTTGCTTAACCATATTTGTATACATTTATCCATCCCTCCATCCATCCATCCATTCATCAATTTATCTCTCCATCCCTCCACCTATTACTCCATCCATCCATTACACCATCCATTCATCCATCCATCACACCACCCATCCATCCCTCCATCCATCCCCCATCCTTCCATCCACCTATTATTCCATCCATCCATCGATTACTCCCCCCATTCATCCTTCCAGTCATCCACAACTCCATCCATTACTCCAGCTATGTTTTGGTGCAGTTCAATGAAAGTTGCAGACATCAGTACACTGTCCCCTAAGTTCTTCAGAGTGTCTATCAGTATTTGTTTACCATTCTTTATTTTCTACTTTGAGGTGAAGTTTACAAACAACATGTGCAAATCCAAAGTGTGCTATTCACTGAGTTTTGACAAATTCATATACTCGTAGAACCCAAACTTCTGTCAAGATAAAGAAGCACTCCCCTGCTGTTTTTTCCAGTATACATTAGCCTTACTTGTTCTGGAACTTCATTTCAATAAAATCACATAATACATTCTTTTCTGTGTC